CGGCCGCCGCCGAGGAGGAGGCCGCCGCCATCGCCGCCTCCACCGGAGAACCCGGAACTAGAAAGTCGGAAGCGGAAGTTACCCGCCCATGGCAACGCCGGAAGCGAAGGGAGAAGGCGGGAGGCCGCGAGGGAGCCATGGAGAGGACAGGAGGGGGGGGCAGCGGCGGCGAGCAGCGCCCCCGCGCGGGGGGGAGGGTGAGGGCGGCCTCTGCTCACCTCCACGTTGTGGCCCTTTCCGCGGTTTTTGGACATCCGTGGGAGCTGGGAGTACACGCGGGGGAAAACCCACCGGAGAAAACAGGGAGGATCGTCTGTGAAGCCTCCTGCGGGCCTTCGTGTGGCCCTCGGGGCTTGGCCCCGCGCCGCCCTGCCTGCTCTCGCGCCTGAGAACTGGAGGCTTAATTAACGCGCGCTGCAAGAAAAAATAGGTAGCGCTGCGCAGCGTAACTAACCGCCACCTCGCCGTCACGAACGGGGGTTGTGCGACCACGTTGCTTTAGCAAGGTGTTGTGAATCACGTGCCTAGGGCCGGAGATAGCGAACTTTTTTTTTGTGTGTATGTTTATTACACGAGACAGAGCCTACATTTTGCTTTTAAGCTGGAAGCAGCAAGAACGATGGTTGCTCTTTCCCAAGAACGAGTGCCACGTGAGACGTCAGCTCTTGCGAAAGTTTTGGTCTCTGGCATCCAGTGGTTTTCACCGTATGGCAGATGGATTTGCTGTGCTAGCTGTGTAGAGCTTTGCCTTCACAAGAATAATGCCATCCATTTTCCTCTGTCCTTCCAAAATGTATTAATATGCTTAGTTTCTAGGAAGACAGGTGCCCCTCGCCCTTTAAATCTACAGCACTACTCCTGTACAGGTTAAGAAAAAATTTTACAATGTATTTGCAAACATAACTTGGGTGCTTAGGGAGCCTGAGCCATGTCTGTGGAAGGCTCGAGCATCAACCTGGGAAGTAAATACGCAGCAGTGAAGAGCTGATGTGAGGAGCGGCCGACCATGATCCAAGCCCACAGCGAGGTCTGACCCCAGAGCGACAGCGCGGCCGGGAGCTGAAGGTCCCCATTCCCAGCACGACGCGGCTGTCCCCAAAGCGACGCGCGCTGCAGAGGTGGGACAGGCACCCAACTCTGCTCCGTGGAGAATGCCAGCGGCCTCGGCCCTGGAGGGCTGGGCTCAGAGTTAGTGTCCTGGTTTTGGCTGGGATAGAGTTAACTTTCTTCCTGGTAGCTGGCATAGGGCTGTGGTTTGGATTTAGTGCAAGAATGTTGCTGCTGCTCAGCAGTCAAGGACTTCTCAGCTTCCCCTGCTCTGCCAGGGGAACAAGAAGCTGGGAGGGGGTGCAGCCAGGACAGCTGACCCCAACTGCCCAAAGGGCTATTCCATACCATATGACATCATGCTCAGCATATAGAGCTGGGGGAAGAAGAAGGAAGGGGGGGGACATTCGGAGTGATGGCATTTGTCTTCCCAAGTCACTGTTACGCGTGATGGAGCCCTGCTCTCCTGGGGATGGCTCAGCACCCGCCTGCCCATGGGAAGCAGTGGGTGAATTCCTTGTTTTGTTTTGCTTGTGTGTGCGGCTTTTGCTTTCCCTGTTAATCTGTCTTTACCTCAACCCACAAGTTTTCTCACTTTTACCCTTCCAATTCTCCCCCCCGTCCCACCAGGGGGGAGTGAGCAAGTGGCTGTGTGGGGATGAATTGCTGGCTGGGGTTAAACCATCACAGTTAGCAACTTTATTGAATAACTAACTGACGTACTAACTTCACCGCGAACTCGGTTGTAAGGGAGTTGGCCAACTTCAGACACCCGTCCCCAAAACGCCAGGATGAGGCTTTTCTTTGGGATAAGCGAAAGGATCCCACTCTAGCCCACACCAGTGCCCCCCCCCCCGCCAGGCACGCTCTGTCTCAGATACATTTTTGTGGTTCATCGCCATCTTCATTCAATTAGTAGGTTTGCAATTAATGTTGTTATTAGAAGGAATGACTTTAATGACAAATCGCCTGTGATAGTTTTTGATCTGCAAAGGTTTATAATGCAGATCGTTATAGAGACATTACCCATTACAGCTGATGTGAATAACTGAAGGAAAATGAGTTCAACTACCACAGAGTTTACATAATGAAGTAAACTGCAAAATCCTTTAATGCTCACATCGATTTTATCTACAACAATACATCGCTTATGTTTGAAGAATAGCACCGCTAAATTAACATGCCGTTTCAGCTCTTCGCGTTCCCCTGGCTCCGCGGAGATGAGACGATTACATTCAGGTATTAACTTTAATAATATCGATTCTGATACAAAGAAGGCAATCTGCATAACGCCGCCAGCCACCGCATC